ACGTACATCCCTTTGTGCAGATGGCAGATGTGCAGAATGCCTCGTACTTCGGAGCATGACTTGCCCAAATGGAGGCAATGTTGCAAGGCGTCACAACGGCCCCATCTCGGATGCAGCACTTGCAGTTCGGATGCTTCTGTCATATAACTTACCTGTGAATGTCTGTAACACACGAAAAGTCAACACCTAAGGGGCCGATGGAATGCGTACTAGCTCTTCCGTTGTAAAAGGAGTCCTTTTGAATAGTACTTTGAGTATGACTCCAATCCATTTAAATACTGCGAATGGCAAACTAAGAAAGTTGCAGGGCTTTCGTTTAAACTGGTTTAGTGGATTCAGACTTTTCAAGGCTAAGAACTCTAGAAGTCCTTCACTGGAATCGTGCCAAGTGGTAAGAACAGCCAAAGGCATTGTGGAAGGCCATTCGGACCACCTGGAAGGGCTTGTCATTTAGTTGGTCTTCCATTTCTCTTATTCCTTGTCTCCAGTCGTTCGCCTATGCGGAAGTATCTCGCTTTTGCTTCAACAGCCATGAAATATGCATGTAAAGGGATGAATGAGGGCATCAGGTTACCCCTACGTACGTCCGCTAAAATAGAAAGGAATGAGGGTGACTCGGAGAACAGGCTGCATAAGCGAGAAAGTGTTGAGGGTAATAAAGAACGCGCACCGAAACCTCATTTGTTAGGTTGCTCAAACGTTCTGGGACACTTTCAAGAGTTTTTTTCGAATTAGGTTATTCCCAGTGGCCAACAATTTAAATCAACTATATAGATGGCAACCATTTCATTGCAATTGTGTGCGAATTAGCGGCATGATGTGGTTGCCATCTGCTGTCCAGAAGCCTCTATTCTGTGGCGCTCTAGGAAGGCAGCGGTCATTTTTGAGAAGCTATCCAAACATGCGCGCATTTTTAGCCAAGAAGATGGAAGCTGTGTACTAGTTTAGGATGGCAGATCGAAAGGCTCGTAACGTCAGGGGGGCTACGTGAAGGATGTGGTGGAATCCCCGCCAGCCTAAATTTCGGATCTCGAGCAAGTGTCATTATTCCCAATGGTGTGATCCCTGAGTGAGTGGGTGAGAGTAGGGAAACTCATTGCTGGCGGTTCTTGGGACCAAATGGTACAAAACCCTTGGTCCCAAAACCGACCCCCCTTTGCATTTGAATTACAGTAGTGCCTCTCTGGATATTTAGAATGTAAGGAAGTCGAGACTGCACGTTTTCGAGAGCGGAGAAAGGTACCCCACCACATACACAGCCTCACCGCCCTACTGGAATTGATAGGATTGCGCGATCGGTTCTGCCCTTTCTGGGGATCTAGCGCTGCGTCTCACAGGAGTGATTCACCTAGGCACCCACTCCACGATGCCAGTTACAGTGCTTTCACCAGCCCCTAACCAGGGAGCGGGAGAGAAGGTTGTAGACAGTACCCACATGTGCTCCCCTTGAGTGCTGGTCAACTCATGAGAAAAATTTTGACCGAACTTCAGAACTTTTCTAAGGGAGCGAGGCCTTCTCTCATTTGTGCTTTGGGACCAGTCAAGTGTAAGGAATAGATAGCAAGTTGATTTGTACGATATTGTTTCAATCAGGACACAGAAGGTCCGAAATCCAAGCATTGGCCTAATTGGCACGACGTTATTTCACCGATAGAAATCACTAGCGGAAGTCAACTGAGCGCATTCCAAAGCCTACTGTGAAGCTGAAACATCAAAGATTATCTAGCCAAGGATCGGTTTATAGGCTTCAACGCACGCGTTTGGTTGAGAGATCCATATAGGCGAATTGGATGGCCGAAAATGATGAATTTCACATTAACCATTTTAAGCGGAGAACAGCGACTAGAGGGACGTGAAAAGCTTGGAATGCTGTAACCTCACATACTTTCCAATAGACGCCACGTTAGCTGGATCTGAAGATGCTGCGAAAAATCTGATACGAGATTGAAAAAAGTGTCCACGAACTTTTGGGACAACCTAATATTTTAGGCGGAGTGACGGCGTGGAAGGATAATACATAGGCACCCATCTCACGCATTGTCATTATTTTTTTCATTTTTTTTTCATCATTTCTCCAACCGTTGAGTCTTCAGCAACCGATTGATTTCAGAGATTTCAGAGCGTTTGACGATGAAGTCGACTGTTAGCGTCGAGACATGAAACAGGGCCGAATGCAGCGCCGCCTAAACTTGGAAACGAGGGAATTCCCCTGGGGAGGAGGCGATTGCCCATTTCAGTCATATAGCGATACTGAGCTTGTTCAAGCGCAGAATTGGCAGCACTAGCCGCGGCCCATGCGAGAGCAGTCACTTGAGTAACTCGTAAAAAATGGAAGCAAAAATGCTTTATGGAGAGCACTCCTAATAAGGACGCTGTTGGAAGCACTCCTTGCACGATTCTTCCGGACTAGAATATTTAAATGACGGCAAAGCAATATTTAACTGCCTAATCTAGCTCACAACCGTCCGCTGCCCAGCGTCATCGGAATGCTAATACCTATCTTAACAAGTGAGACAAAGTGAAAACACTATGTAAAAAGTGAACTCGTGGCAGAGAACTTTGAGTTCCGCAGGGCAGCTAGGAAGGCGTATGGACAGGGCACATCGTTGTTGGGGAATCCCAACAGGGGAGGGGGTCGTATTTGGCCGATTTGGGCTGAGAAAATTTATTTTGATAGTTGATTTTTCTCGCTTCACGGACGTTGTAAAGGGGGGGGGGTCGTACTTGCTCATTGTTGGGAGGGGGGTCGTATTTACTTTTTGGCGTTCTAGGAGTGGTGGTTGACTTTTCGTGATTTTCCTGTTTCATGCGTACTATATACCCCCCCCCGCTCGACAGCAAAATTTTTGGGAAAAAGTAGGGAAGTTTTCGGGAAATTTTGGAAAAAGTGGCAGGAAGTTGGGGAAAATCTGAGAATTGGTAGTCGTATTTTCTTGTTGTATTTTCTTGTCGTATTTTCCTCGCGACGTTTTCTGTGTCACATGTGCTATTTGACCCCCCCCTCCGCCAGGGCACATCGTTGTTGGGGAATCCCCAATAGGGGGGGGGGTCGTATTTGGCCGCCAGGAGAGGGGGGTCGTATTTGGGCTGGGAAAAATTTATTTTGATAGTTGATTTTTCGCTTCATGGACGTTGTAAAGGGAGGGTCGTACTTGGTCATTTTTGGGAGGGAGAGGGTCCTTTTTACGTTTTGGCGTTGTGGTGGTTGACTTTTGGTGATTGCTGGTTCCCCCCCCCCCTCTCGATAGCAAAATTTTTGGTAAAAAGTAGGGAAGTTTTCGGGAAAACTTTGGAAAAAAAGGGCAGGAAGTTGGGAAAAATCTGAAAATTGATGGGGGGTCGTATTGTCTCGCGACCACATGTGTGCTATTTACCCCCTCCCCCCCTCCCCCGCTCGACGGCTCGATTCGATGAGGAAGGACAGAGGGCTGGGGGGGGTCGTACCAACTCCCAAAAAAAGGGGGGGGTCGTACAGATTCGACTAAAATCCCCAACCAATGATGTGCCCTGGCGTCAAAACTGCCCTTGATGAGGGCCGCAGCGCCTTTTTTTCTTACTGACTATGAGAAGCCGCTAAAAAGGAAACTGGGTCAGACTACTTGAACGAGCAAGGGTGCTTACGAATCCATTGGGAAGGGGACTGCGCTTAGGCTCTGTAATAGTAGTTTGTGAAAGTTGTCCTGAGCCTCTATGTTGCACCAATACGTAATACAACAGAACACCTGGTCGTTGGAAACAAGGTTGTTCAGTAATGAAGCGAGTCATTGACTACTCAAGACTAATATAAATTCAATGGGAAAAATGAATAACATTCATCGGAAAAACAACGTTGATACTTGAAACCTACCTCTGATTTCTTATGCTTGCACTTGGCACGTGCTTGTTACTGTAACTTGTGGCCGCGCTGTGCAGTGGAAAGGTTCTTCGTGATGAGGCAGGGATGTCCTAGTTTCACCACTTAAGCCCAATGAAATTGCTACTTCTCCCTCAGGTTTGCGGTGGCATCCCGTGGATAGATACCATCTCTACAACTTTACTTTACTGGGGCAGTTCACACAAAGATCCCAAAAGATTGGAAAAAGCCAGGGCTCTTATTCATCTGAATATGAGCTGGATCGCTAACTAGTTCGACTGCAACCAAGCAGCGATTAGATGCTTGCAAAAGCTCATTCACAAAATGCTCCGATTACTCTAAGGTTATTTCCGGAGGCGATTGTACAGCGAGCAACGACTAGTGTGCTTCCCATAGAGAAGTTTACATCAGTCAAGACGACGTGCCTGCATTGGTTAGCGTACCTCCAGAAGGATAGGCTATGCGGGTGTCCTATCTACTGCTCTTTCGAGTTAAATCAGTGTTTGAAGGCAGTGGGCTCGATGGTTAGGGCGGGCCGCTACCAACATTTGTGGAAGGGCTGCGAGAGGGGTTTGATCACCATTCAGCCCTTCCACCAATGACGTTGGCAGAAATTGCCCGCCTTCAGCCATCGTGAACACTGCCTTCAAATGAATGCTGAGCTCGAATGACCATGAAAAAAAGAAGGAAAAAAGACTGACTGTAATAAATATGGGAGGAAAGCCACAAGTTAGCCCTGGAATGGTCATTTAAGGGTCTCCTTATGCAGAATTATGTTTTCATAGTGATAAGGACTTCTGCTTTAGCCTGAATGGGGAAGGAACTTCGTGGTGGACCAAGTAGTTTCAAGTATGATGATGCAGTCGGGATAGAGTCATTCCACATCTGTACAAGGAGACCTCTACATTCCCCGCCAAGATTGTAAGTGGCCATTTTTGCAGTTTACACTTGATTATTTTAGAAAATTGTGTATATTGCACGTCGAGGCAGTCTGTTGAGAGAAAAAAATTCAGAGGGAACGCTCTTAGCAGTAAGTCACGCATTTCAGTTCGTCGTTCTTCAGAAGAGGCGAGGGTGAGAGGCGGGGTTGCCCAACATCGTATCGATCACTCCTCGGGGCTCACTCAGCGAGCTCCCGCTTCTCGTGATGATGCTCGCCCTCGTCTCCCTGCTCGTCACTAATGTTCTCGCCTTTGATTTTGGCGAATCGGTAAGGACAACTACTTGTTCATTGGTTCCGTGACTCAGGTGCTACCGTACACCACCCCCCCCCTAGTAAAAGATGGTAAGGTGGTGGCTTTGGCAAAGAGGGAAACGCGCTATAAGTCTACCAGTTGGTGTTCAGCTTGGATCCACGATCTCTGTTAATCATGGTGTTTTGGATGTTGTGCTTCGGAATGAGCCAATAATTTCCGAGCTGAAGAAACGCTCAATTCTTTGTTCTCATTAAAAGTCTGAGCCTGTGCGCGTCCATTGATCATTTTCTTTTTTAAGCTGCGCTTTTTCTTTTTTCTTTTGTCCAGCTCATTCTTCAACGAAATTAACAGCACTCAAGTTAGACCTACGTGGCGACTCTCATCAGGCCTCACTTCCTGGAAGCAACGTGCTTCCCCTGCAAATTTGTGCCCCTTCGCCAGCACCGGTTCGGACCATAGATCAGGGTTCGATAGGGCTTTTTTCTATGAAAAACGGATTCTAGAGCTGAAAACAAAACAAAATTAAATGATTGAATGCTTTCAGGCGGGCGACATGGCACTGCTGCCCTCGGGCGACTTCATCGACTTGATTTCGCGAGATGCCGAGAATGTGCCGAGCCCTGCCGCATTCGGCAGTAAATTCATCACCGGTAAATCACTATTATTTACTAATATTACTTCCTTATTAATTTACAATAGTCAAAGGAATCTAGGTCACTTTTGCTAGAATATCCAGGATTGAATTTTTTCCTCAAAAGGAACCGAAAGAAGAGAGCCTTATAACACACCGAATTTCCTTGCAATCTTATGTTTATCCTCTTCTCATCTTTGTTCATATTTTTTTACTCTATCGCAAAGTGCTTTCGGAAATTGAGGTCTCGGAAGGAATACTGTAATGTCAGAGCAGCTGGTGGAGCCTGAGACTTAGCTAACATTACATAGATTTCAATTTCTTAGAAGTTCTAGGACTTTGTGGATTATTTATGATTTCACTAGTTATGTTCCTCTAACTTTAGGCGGGGTCTCTCTTATTTTCACTTCAGGCGGATGTGAAAGTCGTGTTCACTAGGTCATACTGTCCTCGACAACCAGATGACCAAATGTACCCCTAAAGAGAGAGTGTTGTCAAAATGTGGCATATGTTTCGTTTTTTTCTTGGAGCTAGCAGTTCGAGCCGCTGCAATACGTTTTCCTGCCACCGAACGCTAATCTATTTCGATGCACTATGCGGCGATGCGGATAAGCGGACCGGCGCCAAACTGGGGTAATTACCGTCCTCATTCGTTTGCACGAAAGGGGATGGGGTGGCTACAGCAGGTTTTTTTGTTTTTTTTTTGTCTGAAAAGACAAGACTATATCTTCGCATCAGTCGTTTTCATCTAGTTGTTTTCGCTCATCTGCTTAAACAACTGGTGGTGGACGGACTGGCTGCACTCCAAATTCAGCCTCAGTGACACATCCTTCATCCGCGTTAACAAGCCGTAGTGGGCATGCATATACCAGGATCCCAATGAAGTCTAGTTTTGGTCGAAAAAAAAGGAATAAGAGTCAACTGAGCAGTGAGCTGGAATTGCATAAACCAGGAAGTCAGAGTCGCATTGGCAAAATCAGCTGTGCATCAGTTCCTGGAGCAGAACACTATAACCTTTGGATACCACTGATTGCGTTACATTAAAAGTCGTGAGCCCGCCATTAACTTGATAGGTTGTGCGGCTAAATATCATAAACAAAGTAGCATTAACATCGCTTTAGTGGAAGAAAACCGACAAGAAATGATAAGAAAGGCTGCTGACTTATAGGAACATCTGGACTTAAGGCCCTCTTACGTGGTGCTCGGGTAAGATAAGGTGCGCCAAATTCTCACTTGTTGATATCAGCTGTTTTCCCTTATCACCTCACTCTCACCACTCGACGTGGAGAGAAGCAGCAGCGAAACAACCGCACCATCAGGTAACCATTAGAAATGAATGGAGGGCGGTGCCAATGATTGTAGGTTGGGCCAATGAGAAGAACGACGGTATCGTGGGCCTCCTCACTCGTTTTTGCGCCGCGAAAGTGGTGTAGTTGGTGCCTTTGCGACTGACTACCTTCTCACGAAGACGGCAGGAATAAAGTCTCAATGAACGCGGGCCGCCTGCCTTAATGAATGTCGCTCTAATAGCATGCGGCTGGCTTGACGAGAGTTGAGCCAGTTCTCTTACATTTAAGGGTCACGAAGCTCGAAGGGCGTTGTTACACTGATCGACATGAAATCGTATCTTCAAAACGCTGCAGCGTGCTATTCGGAATCAGGCGCTATAAACGCAAGTGAAAGGTCGGCAAACGGCCGCGAAAGAAATTCTCCTTCATATTTTAACTTTGCAAATGAAGGCCATAGAGCATTCAGAAACTACACCCATTCTGTGAGCGGCGGGTGGCGTGGGCGTCCCGGTCGATTTCTGACGGCTTGATAGTGCTTACCATGGTACTTCTGGAAGAGGCAACTACAGCGCGCTCAGGCTCGAGTAGTGCGCAATTCCGCCCTGCTAGGCGGTGACGACGCAACTGCCTTAAATTAATTCTCGAATCTGAGCGTAGAGCTTGAGAGGCAAGCATTTCTCCAATCTCGGAGCCATATGATCTCGTTTCCTGGTGGCGTTCTGTGTTGCCTCGCCCGCTATGTCTCGTTCAGTCAAAGCATTTCTATGCTGTTCTTGTATTGATCAAGCACGTCTGGCACTAGATAATGAGATCCCCAAGAAGGGGAAACTTAACTCATCTGAGCGGCGTGGCCGACTCAACGCACAATTGCCACTCTGAAGTACAAAACATTTTTCCTGAAACGACCGAAAAAAAACAGATAAAGTCGGCCCCTGGCTTGAAGTCCGTCGGCTTACTGACAACTTTCTTCAGCTCCATTTCTTAGCTTTCACTTCGTGCACAATTCCAGACCTCGGAAATCGGGTTTTAAGATTTGGGGTGTAGCAATGTCAACCAGGAGGGAGCTGCATTTCTTCAGATACATGCTCTTCGGTGTTTTCCGGTTGCCATTTTGTCGTATCATTTTCTCGTCATCTGGCTACCCATGGGCGTCCGGCATCCCTGTGCCGGACCACTTTGTGGCATTACCATCTTAAACATATAAATTCGTTTTCGTTTGGCGGAGCGACAGCTCATGCTCTTCAAGCAACCTCTGGAACATGACATACAATGGTTCTTCCGATTCAGAGGCAAAAAGAACCATCCCTCTGAAATCATTATTTCATTCTTCATTTCTGACAACCCTTCTTCCCTCTTTCCTATTACCAAATATGTCTAATTATAAAATACAGGCAAAATGGTTTAGCTTACGTCATCCTGTCTCTTCGCTGACGTCATTTTTGCGAGCAGCCGTGTGAGCGCTAATGGAAATCCTTCCATTAGGACATTAGGTATGAACATGCTCGCATGAGCTTCCCTGGCGGAGTAGGTAGAATGGATGGTCATCGGGACGTATTCCCTAAACAGAAAATATTTTGGATGCCTTTTCAGCTTGATGTCTCATGGCTTTTTATTGAAATTTTCCCTTCATATACGACCTTTTTTGCATATGCACTGCGGTGTTTCCGATTTTGCAGTGTGAGTGCGACTGATGTTTCGCTGTTCGCCTTAGGGAGGGCATTTCGCTAGTTCGCTGGTTTCTTCAGTTCACAAGAGTTTACAAATTTCACCTTGGTGAAACTTGTAAACTCTCGTAAAGCTCCGAAATAGAACAAACTCCATTGAGCCGCTCTGGTGAGACATGTGAATTCTTGTAAATCTGGTTTAAAATCCATCTTTTATTATATGACTGTATAAGCTTTACACGAGTCGACAGGACTTCACAAGGTGGCCTGTTCATGTTTCTTTGAGGGCCATTTGATACTTTGCAGAGATTACCAGGTTTCCATGTCAATGGTGGCTAGTAAGATGCTCCCACTCCCAAAGCGAACGACGCTATTTTCTATTTTTATTTTATGTTACTGTTATTCAATCAGTGACCCTATAGGTTCACTCAGAAAGCTTCAATAGTCCTCAAATTCTTCGTAATGGGCTAGTTTTCGAGGCTTAATCATAAATTCCCAAATTGATATATAAAAAAGAAATAATGATAGATCAACTCAATCAACCTTCTGATTGATAGCTTGAAAGTTCCAATGTTCAAAAAGGTTAATTCCTCCAGTGATTAATTAATTTTTGTTTTTTTTCTCGTTCTTGCTAAAATACACTCACAAATACATTATTATTCTGGGAATGTGAGTGTGAAGGGAAAAATGGAGCCGAAGTGATGCGTGATCCGCGAATTAAAATCTAGATCAGCTCTCTGGAAGCTGTCAGGTCTTGCATCCCTGCAGTGTCAGTGAATCGGCGCCCTATTAGCCTAGTAGGATAAAAACACTGACATTCTCATTGGCCCTCTCTAGTAGTAATCAAGGACCGAATACAGACTCGTTCTCTGCGGATGATAGGGCGTAACAAAGTGGGATGAGCTTGACGCAGCGCCAGCCCTTTGTCTGTTTTAGCAAAACGGTGCCTCACTGACTCCCTTCTTCTCGCAGGACAAGGACTGTAAGGCTTCCCACTTTATTCTAAATGGAAGGGAATTCTGGGGGCATCTTAGAAGAAGAGCTTGTGTCAACCTGTGCGTTTTACATTTCAACTTTCATGACGTTATGTCATATCTGCCTTTTTCGTTAATCTGCAACCTTGATTCAGCATTGCCGCCCTCCCCACACTCACGATGTTGTAGAATAATGTATATATATGAAAAAAAAAAATTTGGCAGCTGGTCAATAAAGCATTATAGTTGTCTTACAGTCATGGGATTTCTTCCTGATGTTAATAAATTTGCTTGATACTGCAATGGGTCCCCGGCTGTGCATCATGGACTCATTATATCCCAGCGTTGGTGTTATTGCGACCTCCTCACGATTGCAAATTTGGTATGACGGATGGCTCTCGTATACACAGCGACTGGTAATTAACTGTTCGCCTTAGGTTTACTCAGCGGTTTAACTTTGCTCACATTTTTTCCAAGATGTACGATAGTTATCTTTGAAGGCACAGTCCGCGATCAGGCATGGAAGTCAAAAATATGGCGTGTAATGTATGTATGTGTAGTGTATTGGTGGTCTCACGGCGATCACTTGTACCGGTTATCGTGGAAAAAAAGGTTGTAGGATGGGGGCTATATGGCAGTAATTGGTTCCGTGACGCCTTTCCTTTTATCCAGTGGCTCCGCATCCAGATTCGTCTCCAAGGTCCGCGTCCGCGTATATGAGCTGCGGAGAGGCGCTAAACGTAGTTTTCCTTACGTCGGATCGGGGTGCTTAATATGTATTGCTAGCGCTAGTGCACAGGCGATCTGCCAGGCATGCATATACTGGGAACAAGGACATTAGAGAAGTCTAGGAGAGAAAGGACGCTAACAGAAGGGGGGGGAAGAAGTTTGCTCGCAAAATGGCACAATGCTCGATAAAATGCACGGACTCGACCATTGATCGATGTCTCGTCAGAACGGTGGGCTATGGGAAAGCCCTTTTGAGAAGCGACTGAATGGAGTCTGCTTTCTGGATCACGGTAACCGTGAGGGGGGATGGCAACGCAAAGGGCTAGGATGACACGATGATCCAAGGCTGCAACGGGAGATACGACGAGTATGTTGGAACATGTTCAGTTAATATGATCATAGATTGGAGCGTTTCGAGGGAGAGCAAGTGCCCATCCGCAACGTTTCGCGGCTGGTTTTTCCTGGTCGATCGTGAGCTGATTCGATCGGTAGAGGAGGGCGGAGGCGGGCTATTCCCGGTTGTACGGTTGAACTGTTCGCAGAAGGATACATGTCTTACATGTAAGGCATATTTTTATGAGTGCTGTGTAGAAATCGAGCCAGCTTTTAGTAGCCTACCCTATCTACTTCGTTTTTGATATAGATCTTCACATTCTGACCACTTCGATTCGTGTGTGGCCGCGATTGGTGTCATACATGAATTATGGCATATCATGCTGTAGTATTTGGTAGGGAAAAAAGAATTCCTTGACAATGTTTCGAGTTTACACGTGTAAAGAAGCTGGAACCGCGACGCACAGTGTCGAAGGTCGAGAACTGCTTTTATAAGGAATCATGTCCTCTAAGGCACACCCAGGAAGCGTAGAAGCCATCTCTCGAGATAAAACGCGTTATGGAGAACTATATGTGGAGCAGGGTTTGTAGGGAATATGATAGCATATGTGTGACATAAAACTTCGAACATAAAACTTGGAGGCAGAGTGCGAAACTGGAAAAAAACCCGAGATAGTATGGACCGCTGTGAACAACCTTCTGCAAGTTTCGCCACTAAATGGGGGGGTAGGAATGTTAAGGGACTAGGCTCTCAGGTGACTCCCCTAGCCTCTAATCGATCTCTCGTCTGTTGTAGTGCTCGTTTGCATGCTCTATCGCGGCTCTTGTCTGGTCTCTCGCCCGAAATCCCTACTGATTCAGTTTTGTTTTCTACCCTGCTTCCAACGAACTTTTCGTCGTCTCATCGCAAAATGTGCCAGTTCACGGTTGAAAAACATTGAGCCAACAAAGTCGCAATGAAAAAACACCTTCGATAAATGCGGAGCGATCTAACCGGTAAAGATGGAGTGGACCACTACTAAGACATAACCACGGGCATCTTAGACGAAAATAATCCCCCGCGCCTCTGTAATCGATGGTGGAGGTGCTTACGTGTAAAGTATTTCAAGTCCGGAGCCTATTTCGAATTGTGAGCCATGTTGTAGAAAGACTTACAGTGAATGACGAATGCACCTTCGACTGCGACCTCCGAGGGACGGGCAAGAGGATTGTCAAAAGCCGCTTCGTCGCGCGCGGCAATGGGCGCGACGTTTCCTTGAATTTGCACTACCCTTTCGATTGGAGCATCGGATTTCATGTAGACAAGGACATGGTAGACACTTATGTCTATTTTTGGTCATACATTGTCTATTCCCGACCCCTAAAATCGTCGTCATTAGCGGGCGCGACGTCGCACGCGCCGCCCAGTAGCACGGCGAATTACGATTCTCTTGCCACATACCCGCGACCGCCAGAAACACCGAGGGTACTTACAAGTCTAACTCTATATACTCCAAAACTATACGAACTCTAGCACCGAAGGAGTTGCAGTTTTATGGGCATTCTACACTTCCTATGTTCATATCATGCACAGAAATGCAACCAAAATACCCTTTATAGAATCTATTCATGCAGAATGCCGATGGAAACCACCGGCATTCTGCACGTTTTCGTTTCCGATTCTTTTCTTGTCAGGGGCACAATATTAACTTAGCCAATATTTAATTGACGGGCTACTGTTCAAAAAAGTACGGTAAATCCACCGTGAAGGGCGTTGCACAATCCACCACCAAAACGGGCCTTGGAATAGGTCTACCTGAAAAAAAATTGGAATTGTGGAAAAAAAAAGGGGGGGATATTTAGAGGGAAGTTAGTCGAGACGGCATGGTTTTTTTTTTGCCGTTCCAGTTTTCTCATTAGCATGCCATTAACGAAATGAGTTTCAGGCGGAGCTGGTGAAGGAGAACAAAAACTCCGCGAAGAGGAGAATTTCCAACAGAGACAAGAGGTTCGCACATACATTCATCATTCCGCACTTCGTGTAGAAATCTTCACGGAGAAATTTCTTTTCTGATCGGTACGAGGATTTGTTCGGCTTAAAGGGAAAAGGAGGGCTTGCTTCCTGGCTTTTTTTTCCTAAAAGTCCCAGAGTGTACATGCACGCACGTAAGTCTTGCAGAATCTTGTCATATAGTGAGGGAAGTTTAGGGCTATTGCATAGTTTTCATGAGAGTTTGTCACAGATCTCATAGCTGTCACAGACTCCGATGACGAGTAATGATGCAGCAAAATGCCCCATCAAGCTCGAACTTACGAACCCATACGAGAATCGTAGGGAGTGCTAATCGAAGTCGTGTTCAGGTGAAATCCGACAATGTTCTGCCAGCATACTGCGAGCCACCAAATCCATGCCCAGTCGGATACACCGCTGCCGATGGATGCTTAGAGGAGTTCGAAAATAGGTATGCATCAGGAAATTTCATATATCTCATGTCGGTTTTAAATGTTAGAACCTGTGCTTAGAGATTCTGTTCTGAATGCATTTCTTCCGTTCGTTCTCATCCACGCCAGAATAATCTAAATTCCTGAGATGCGATAGGCGTGGCTACGTACTCCATTTGAACATGATGGCTACTGCGCTTTAGTTGGGAAATTTTTATGTAGGGACAACTCTCTTTGTCCAACGCAAGACAAGATGGCAGTTGTCTCGAACTGATGCATCCATGAGTAATCCATTCTAATCCAAGGCTAATGGAGCACGCAGCCACGCCTACCACGTCTCAGAGATGTGGTTGATAGATCCGGCAGCATACGAACTTCACTGATACTAACTCCATTGCCCTTATTCATTCACTCAGAAAAATCCATTCGTAAAGCGATCAGTAAAATTCACTTGGTCAAAAGTAAAATCATTCCATATATAATGCGGTCGTGGAACCTGATTTCTGAATATTGTACAACATTGCACTACTGCAGGCTGCAATTTTCCTTTGATTTGACGTGGGAATGACAGTATATCGAGTCAACTATTTACTCGCTAGTTTGTGCATGACCACAAGGTGGATGTACCGACGCGCACTCCTTAAAAAAGGCCACTTCTTAGAAGTTCTTTAACTTCTCTTTTCAATCTTCTGCACAATTTATTCGTATTGGCCTTATAACACATTCATGGCAAGGCAAGTTTACAGCAAGCGGTGTGAAAATATTCGTTGCTTCTCTTTCCGGCACAGTTCATCTTAGTGGGGCATCAGATAGCAGTCACTGAGGCAGGTTTGAGCACACGTTACCTTGTGAAGAACTGGAATCTCTGTAACGAAATCGGTTCTCTGCACCAGTTCGCAGCTTGACGTGTTTGCGGGTCAGTTGTGATTTAGCTAAAGTGCCCCTCCCACTGGGCCGAACTGCTGCCCGCTAAGCCGAATCTGCTTTCACTCCAGTATCAAAAACCTCTATTCATACAACAGAACACAGAATCTAACCCGCTCGTGATCTACGGCTCAAAGCGGAGCCCC